ACTCTGTAAGGTATCTGAATTTCTTGACAGACTTTGCAAGTTGCTCTCCTCATGTTCCTGTGGGGCCTGAGTGATGAGCTGGCTCAGTGGGGTGAGGGGAGACAGCTCTGTGCCCCAGTGGCCATGAGCAGATAGAAGAGTCTTGGGCATACAGTGAGATGCTGAGGTGTGTCTGGGCAATTCAGGACTYGTGGGAAGCTGTTGCAAAGCTGTCAGAGATTCTCTTATTCTCATTTCCTTCATAGTGCTGGAGTCCATTTACAGCAGAGTGTGCCACATCTGCTGGCAGGATCTTTGTGAACATTTCTTTTGTGTACTTTGTAAAGTGTTCTATGAAAATTAATTCTCATAGATTCTTGCATTAGCTGTGTAAAGGCCATTGCCCTAACTTTAAAGGTGACAATCAAAACACAGAGAAATTAAAGGCAAAGCTCTTTGTAACTTGAAATATCTGGTCTGAGATGTCTTTCAAATCTGAATGTTAAAAGCCCATCTATACATGGCATGTTCAAAGCATGCCTCCCTCTCCTCACCTWCATTTGTAGCTCTGTGTGTTGCGAATTTTTAAGCCAAACTGAATCGTTGTCCTCTGAGTGTCTGGAGTTAACACTTTTGAAATTTCCATCTTGTATGAATGTTCCACATCCCATGGGGGCTGTGTCAGAGATGGGCTCTTCATTTCCTTTTCCAGCACCAGTATTCAGTTGCCCAAAGGAAGATCCCTTGACMTCAGCATGATTTTCCCTGCAACTGCATCTTCTGACTCCACATCATTCTTATTTCCAGGGAAGAAGTAGAATCACTGGGTATGTCTGTGAAAGGCTCACTGTACATAACACAGATAAAATCTTTGGGGAGATTAAGCTGTGCAGTTAAATGGTCTGCTCTGAATGCATAGATTATTATTTGTGTTCTGCCTGAATTTCACAGTGATTGTGCATTCCTTTTACCCCTGGGACTGCAATCCTAATGCAGCAGACCTCAARTCTTGCTGGAAAGCACTGAGTATGATTTTAAATAAGAAGCAGTTTTCTTTTACTTGTTAAATCAGGAAGAAAGACTCCTCCCACTTCTTAGGAATTATAGAATTGAAGAATTGATTTTAGGTCAGTCTAARCTGAAAAATGTGCAGGTCAAGGAAGAACTCAATAATGAAGATGTAGCTTGTCTTTTGGTAACTGAGGAAAGAGTGTTGTAGAGAGATGCTGGCTGAAATTCCAGTTACACAGCACAGCTGTTTGCCTTACAGTACCACATGGAACTTGTGTCTGCTTAGAATCCAGAAAATGCTGTAGTCAAGAACATCAAAGGGTGTTTCTCATATTGCAYCAGCAGCAGTATGAAAAAATAGAATTAAGTGGATGCAGAAAACTTACAGGGATCAAAACAGAGTGTGAACAAGAGCTCCAGGTTTATTGTAGAGATAAGGTGGATTACAAAGTGTGTCCTAAAGATGTGCTTCTTGCAGTGTAATTACTTAAAGTTCCTTTGGTAATGTGATGAACAAAACATCAGTGTTTTGATGTTCAGAGAYGTATTGTCCTTTGTTTTCAGGTATTTTTGGACAAGAAGCCTCATTCTAACTTTAGTCTAGGTCTACATACAAGGTGATTTGACACTGACCAGTAGCACTCTTTTTTTTTCTACTGCTGCTTCTTGCCCAAATCAAACATTTCTTACTTGACAGATTACTCAAGAAACAGAAGATGACTCCATCCTTCATCAGTAAACAGAAGCCTTGTTTCTTTCACTCAACAYGCACTTCACTACCCCTGTTTTTCTTGCAGTATTTAAATGGTTGGTAATTTTGTTTCCCTGGCGCCCCCTACGTCCCAAGATTCTTTCTGCTGTGGTCAGGTCTTTCCTGCCTTCTTTTGGAAAACAGGASTGTGACTTCATCATATTGTGCAATGAAGTTTAAACTAGTACATGAAGAGATTGTACAAAATAATATTTTGTATTTCTGTAATGGGCTTCATAATCTGAGGGTAAAAAGAAATAGAGATTGTTGGTCTAAAAATAATCTATTTTCAAAACAACCTACATTTTTTTTTTTTTTTTAAGAAATAGAGATTGTTGGTCTAAAAATAATCTATTTTCAAAACAACCTACATTTTTTTTTTTTTTTTTAAATTAAGTACCTTCCCTAAAACTAGTAGTTTGGTATGTAGGTTTGCTGCATATTAATTTTTTTTTTTTTCAAATGGATTTTTGTTATCTTGTAGTAGTTCAAAGTGTGTTGTGAAAAGATCTATGTTCGCATACTTCATCTGGGTAGACTTTTTTTTTGGTTTGTTTCCATAAAAGGCAAACCTTTGTTTTAAAGTTGTAGTGAACARTAAATTGATTTTGTCCAACTCTCATGCAAGTATTGACCAACACTTTCTTAAGTCGTCTAACAAGGCCCACTATAAAGCCCAACAACCTTAGGAATGGGCAAACCAACTAAAAAAATTATTTTGAGTTACCTTTATGTCATTGCACCCCAAATCAGCCTGCTTCTTACGTGCAACCTGAAATACACTTCCAGAAAATTATAATTGTTTTCTTTTTCAGGAATCCAGTATAGCTCTAAATGTACAAATAAAATTTCCTTATTTTAGGAAAATATTATGGTTTGCAGATTTATTCCTTTATTTAAAACTCCCATGTGGTCGCATGCACAAGTCAAGGTCTCTTGGTGGTTGCCCTGKTAAGACAGTRACTGATGATCTGACATACAAAAATGTTACTTCTGATGTGTACAAACGATCCCAAAAGTCTGTAAAAGTAACTCTCCCTTTGGTGTTTTGGAATAAATTGTTCATTATTTCTCTTTTAAAGAGATAAAATTATTAATTGCATGGGAACTCTATTAATTTCCATTGTCATGCTGCTATCCTCCTCACCCAGYAGGACTGTAGCAKYAAGGCTGGGCTTAGKYTGAGCCAGGAAAGCATTCTGTGGGYCAGAGCCTGAGTTAAGGGTGYTCAGTCRTGGAGAACAGCCYTGGACAGGCAAGGGGTAAAGGGCCAGGGCTGAGCTTGAATGGAGCTCTGGGGCTCAAGGGTGTGGAGCAGCCTCAGGTGGTCACAGTATTTAGGGTGTGTTAGTGGGCTCAGAGCCTGGCAGACCACAGCTATCCTGCAGTGCGTCTCAGAAAGTTTAAAGGAAATGGATTCACATTTTTCTTTTGTTATCCCACATGCCCCTTCCTCCATAATGGAGCCACCAGTACATGAAAACAGCACAGGTAAGACATTCTTCTAATGAACCAGATAATTAATGAAGGGTCTCCTTCTCACAGACAAGTAACTGCTGCATTGCAGAGATCTTTGTGGTGCATTTTCATTAAAGTCTCCTTTCTACATGCTGCTAACATACTCCTTGAACACCACGAGTGTGAAAAAACCAAATATAGATCAGTTGTTTCATTATGAGTTGAAGATGACTTATGAAAGCAAATTTCTACAGTCTACAGAGCACCACCAGCTGAGCAAAGAACAAACTTTTTGTTTAGTTTGGATATGTCTTGTTTCTTAAATGCCTCTTAAAATTCATGAGGGATGTGTGTGTGTGCAGAAGGAAAAGTAGAATTTCTGTCATCTTAGAGTGAGCTGGTGGAAGGAAAGAGGAGGAGCCTGGGTTCCTGTGTCTGAAGATATCCTGGCACAAATGAAGGAGAGAGCGTTCTACGATATAAAGCTAATTCAGTAATGGGGATCCTGAGCTGCTGCTGGTGCAGCAATGTGGCACAGGAGGGATGGGATAAACTCCTGTTTCCCTTGGTAAGATGCTGCCAGTTGAGTTGTGAGCAGCTGAAGTGGAAAAACCTGGGGTCACTAATGGATAAGTTCTCTTTATAAGTCATGTCAAAACCTTCTGTAAACAGGTTTGTGTCTCTGTAGATGTGAACCAAACAGTTTTATGTTTTTTTTTTTTGTTTGTTTGTTTTTTTAATTCTTAAAATTTTGGCATTGTCAGAAACTCCATGTGACATACTCTTATCTCTTTGCTGACTTATCATTGTGTGGTAATAGCCGTACAATGAGTTTAAAATAACTCATATATAATAATATCAATTCAGTTTATATTCTGCATTCAGGATGCTGTAAAGTCATGGGCCTGATAGAAACCTGTGAGTAAGCACTCAGAATAGAACTGGTATAAAAAAAGCAGTGTGGAGTTGGAAAAAGATGGCAGGAAGAAGTACGGAGCAGCTCTCAGGGAAGAGAGAAAAAAACCTTACCAATTTGTCAGGAGTCAGGTTTCCATTTCAATGAGGTATTCCATGCATAACTTGTATGGTAGTTTATGTCCTTATATAAATAAATGGAGAACCTACACAAATGTCTGGATTCTTTACCTGAATGAAAGTGAGAAGGGTCTCTTTTCCATGCTAAGTGTTAAAACACAATGATTCATTTTTTTTCATCTGTGAAGTTTTGCTGGTTAATTACTTCAAGTGTGTTGACTCTACAGTTGGTTCATTACCTGACTGGCAATGAGTTGTTCAACATATTATGTTCAATTTTTTTCCAGCTTCTCTTTTTTTTTCTCCCTTGTATTGTGAAATTCTCAAAGCATAATTGTCAAAAGCAGGGAGTCATGCTGAGGACATGGATTGCCAATCAAGACACTATCTTTCAAATATTGTGAGACTGCCATTTATCCTTTGAACAGGATATCTTATAGAAATTTACTCTTAATTTACTCTTTTCTTAACCATGGTTTCCAAGGCCCCTGTGATATTTGTTGTGCTTGTAGGAGCAGCACATAACAGCTGTCTTCTCTCATCCTGGGTGCCTTAAAAATGGTGCCAGCTGTCTCATGACAGGGTTCTACAAGGAGATGGAAAGCTGCTGTGCAGAAATAATGCTGTCATTAGCCTGCTCTCCTGCACCATCGCCAATGACTAACTGTCTGAAACTCCTTCCCTGGAAAATACTGTTTTCTGCTGATATCAAAAGACCCACACTGTATGGTGATTTCAGTCCTCCTGACTTGACTCTAGTAGTTTCCARGTCTCCCTCAACTTAAAGGAAAAGTAATGGAAAAAGCCTGTGGTGTCAACACTTTGTGTGCAGGACAACCTCCCTGATTCTGTGAGTCCTTTGTAACGTGAGGAGCGTGCAGTGGCACTGACAGTGCATGGTTTAATGCTGTGTGTGTCTGTTTTACTGGTTTTTATCTTGAAATGGTCTGGCTGGGTGCTTCTTCTCCAGAAAGAAGCCCTGTTCGCAGTGGTGTCCTGTTTCTCATCCTACCCTCTTTCTGTGGTTTTTGTTTTAACCTGTGCAGCATCCTTTGTTCCTGATGGCTCTGGGCATCTGGCYCTGCATGTCAGGTGGCCTTAACAGAGTCAAAATAACTTGAGTGTTGCTCAGAGCAAACAGCTTCAGTTTGGTCAATAGTTTCTGTAAAGGAGAGTCAAGTACTTAGTGTTCTCACATTTGTTCTCTTGGAGAGGAAAAGTTTTTTCTTGAAATGTTATGACAAAACTCTTGAAATTAGAAAAATTGCTTCATTCTGAAAAACACATATAAAGCACGAGTCACCAAAAAAAAAAGAGTAATCTTTACACTGGCCTTTTAGTCTTTATTTGTTGTGTTAATCTGCTGTTTAAAGTAATTTTGATAGGTATTCTAAAAGCATAGTCACATTTTCCAAGTCKTCCATCTTAATATATACTACAGAGAATTCCAATTCATTGCAAATAGTGTAATTGTAGCAGGGAATGGCAGAGGGTTTCTCTTCAAATGGCCTTTATTTTTTCTTCCTTATTCAACATTTTGAATTGAGTGACTTTGCTATTTTTTAAGTTTCTTGAACAGATTTGCATGTTTAAAAATTATTTGTAGGTAAATTATATTTTCTGCTCACTAAGTTCTTTCTCCTCCCCTCCTAACCATTGTTTAAATTTCATTTAAAAKTAGCTGTCTGTGTTCCCATTACACTGCAGGACTGTGAAGTGGKTACATGTAGAAGCATTCTAGCCAGGAGCTGCAGAATACATAAAGATGTTTTGTTTTACAAAACAGGTTCAGTGCATGTTGTTTGAATGAAGGCCTAGAACCTTACACATGTGTTAGTTCAAACCTTCCCTTTGAGCTCCATATCAATAGTTTTGAATTATTGGTCGAGTGTTGCTTACTATGGCAGAGTTAAATGGCTCATTTTGAGATTTTCTGTTKGTAAAAACTCTTTCCATGTTAAGAAGCAATCCATTTTGTAGCCCTCTACCTCTCCCATCGTAGTGTTTTTCCATGTGACTGCAACCTTTTAAACCATCACTTACTGAGGCTGAATGGGAGCCATGAAATATAATAAATCCCAGATGTGCAGATTTCTGGCTGCTTTGTGATGAAACGTTGCCCTCCACATTTGCACTAGCGGTGTTACACGCAAGAATGGAAACTCTGAAAAGCCCTGCTCTTGATGTAAGTGATTGATAGACACAACAGAGTCAGCACACAACCCCATGGYGTGTCCGAGCTCATGGTCTGATGTRAGCTGGTCAGGRAGTGAAGAATAGCAGTTTTSGATCTTCCTTTTTTCTTACTGTGGTGTTRTGGGATAGCCGACATTTGGAACTCACAACATTGTTTTTCTGTTGGATGGTTTCTGTGTAAATATATATATAACACTGTCTGTGAGAAGGTAGGTCTGTGCCTCATGAAAAGAGATAAGTTCTTTTAAACCTGGTTTACAGATTATTTTCCTTGAAATCTAAGGGATGACTTGGTGTGGCCCTTAAGCTARGTAAGGAAGTGATGTTCCCTTTCTGTTGCTTCACAATTTGTGTAGAAATTGGTCTATGCAGAAATGGTACTTAGCATATTCACAAATTATATTTATCAACATCATAGCCTAAAGCAAAGCCAATTCAATTGCAAAAGATGTCTAGTTCAGAATGAGAAACTGTAAAAGTTTGGCTTCAAATGGTAGRTAGMSTYTWA